ATTATTTTTTTAATGTATTAAAACAAAATGAAAACACAAGTAAATCCAAACTCATCCTCATTCTGGAAAACAGTGGAAGTGGGTGCTATATAATGTCAAATCATTCAATAAATTGAGTTAAACTAAAATAAGTTCTGTATTTGTGTGCAGTTTTACTAACTTAGACCAACCAATCTGTCTCCAAATTGAGAGATTCCATATGAGCAAAGTATTAAATAACAGGGGAAATGTGTATTCCCCAAATATTGTCTCAGTCAAGTTTCTGTTTATGTGGACACATAAAAGCATCATGGGCCTATAATCATCCTGTGGTTAATTAGAAACTGAATCAATAGCAAATGATTTGAGTCTGATGCCTTCTAGTTTTACGGCACCTTAATTGAAATTCACAGGTATATAGCGTCCTCTGTGCCTTACAAGTTGTGAATATTGGACTCTTAAAGTCTCTCAGGCATAGCATTTGGCATGTTTTAATAGGTTTCCTCTATTGCCTCTAAAAAATTTGGACACTAACCAAAATATATCTGTATCTGTGTATGCACACATGTACATGTCATAGTAACATTTTAATAAGTCCCACTGAACCAAAATCACCAATAGTGAAATCAGTCTTCTTGACTGCCACTCTCTTGTCCAGTAACATTCTTTTTGCAGTTCTTACATTAAGCCTGAGGTTCAAGGATTTGGACATAAGACAAGGACAGAGTGGAAGAACCTTGAAGATGTAATTCCTTGAGTCTGCCCTTTCGCTCCTGAAAGTAGAGCAAAGACTCCAAAATATTTAATCCTCCAGCGGGCTTTACCTTCAGAAACATAATTTTCACTACTTGCAATGCACTATACCTAATAGCATCCCATTTTTAGTTGGAGTTTCAGGATAAAAGAAACTAGGTAAAGGCATTAAACTAGGTAAGGCTAAAGTCATGCACAGTGAAACTGAGATTTTTTTTATTATGTATAACTAATTTAAATTTGAATATCTTTCAGGTATATTAAATGCTTCAAAACCAAGATAATCAGCTCACTGACAGAAACAACAAAGGTGGTTGTTAAATATTGAAAAGAGGGATATTGTGTTAAAAGAAATAAATATAGTCCTCTTGGATTGTGAAAGAAGGCATCATGCATTTGTTGTGATTCTTTGAGCTGCTTGTTGGTGAGGCCATCTCATACTAACAGAGATGTAAATTTCTGCCTTCTGTCAAATGCTTATCCTCAGACAGACTTTTCCAAATGATCTTGCAATACAAAATTTCAACCTATGTAAGTTAAATTGGGGGGGGGAAACTGTATCTTCCATCCAGTTTCATGTCTTCCATTTTATATATCCTTCCTTGCACCCAACATAGATTCATGCTATTTTCTTTATGAAAAACAAGACACACAATGGGTAGTGCTAATAATTAAGTGAGTCAACTTTTTATGCCACTTCACACACACAAAGCCCTAAAAAAATCATGGTTTTTCTTACTGCCAAAAATGATCTTATCTCTTATCATATGTCCTATGCCACCCAAATCTATCTCTACTTCTCTCACAACATATCTCACTTTTTGCCATGTATCATGTTCATTAGTTTGCGAAAAAATATCCCCTCTTGTTGATCTGTAAATACTTTAACAATGTGGACCAATTTATCTATATGTATCTGAGATTGCAACAAATGGTCACTGACTATGTATAAAGTAGAACAAGTGATAATAATAATAATATGTTCTTTTATTATAATCAATAACAATAATCAATAACAGCTTATAAAAACAGGGATTATTCTAATGATATCAATGTCTCTCATTGTAATGTGATTCCATCACCCTCTTAGTTTTGATCCAAAGAGGGAAAAAGCAGTGGAAATTATGACTGACACAATTTGGGCCACCTCTCAGAAAGAGGACATTATCTTTTTTTCTCCCTACACTCAAGTAAGATCCACAACCTTCCATCACCATGTCCCAGAACATGCCCTTCTGTGTAATAACTAGAAGAGCATGGATCAGAGTCGAGAGTAAAGAAATCAAAGAGCATTACCCCTACCCACCACAGAAGAACATTTTAGACTCTACAATTCTGAATATGAGAATGAGGAGATCAGTAAACTTAGGTCAATCATTCACAAACAATTCATACCTAAGAATCTTTGAATGTAATATTGTTTCTACTAATGAGGTAAGAGATTTTTCTAATACTAATAAAAATCTTCCTCCCTTCCACACTCCCTCACTCTGTGCCAATCACACTGCATGTTCTCTGTGCAAGCATGCCTTCTTCACCATGAACTGACCACTTGTGTGCTGTTTTCTTTGTGTGATAGATCCCTGCTTCTGTTTCCTGGAAATTCATCAAGACTGAGGGAAAACCTCACCTCCTCTAGAAAACCTTCCCCCACTAGCCCCAGATAGAGCTCTGCTGTGCTCCCACAGTGCTGTGTTCATACTAGCATCATATCCCATGTGTGTTTACACACATACGTTTGTATTTTCCACCAGAGTGAAAATTGCTCCAGAGTAAGAACTTTGCTCATGTGTAAATTGTTAGTACTAAGAGAATAGTAACTATGCTTTAGGATTGCAAAATGTGTGTTGAAAGACTGAAGTGTTCCTTGACTAGATGAATGCTTTCCCTCTTGCCCTAATAAATGGAGGGTCAGAAATGCAATTGAGTCTAACTTTAGGGAGTCAGATTCCATTTTACTGACATCCATTCCTATTGCACAATCTTATCGAGGGTGCTACAAAAAGGTTGGTGGAGATTAGGTTGTACCTATGCTGAGCCCAAACTTGTCTTGAAATTTTATTATCTTTTATATAAATATCTCATCAACTAGGTGCAGTGGCTCACGCCTATAATCCCAACACTTTGGGAGGCCAAGTTGAGTGGATCACCTGAGCCCACGAGTTCAAGACCAGCCTAGGCAACTTGACGAGACCTCATCTCTACAATAAATCAAGAAATTAACCGGGCATGGTGGCACGTGCCTGTAACTACACTATTTGGAGGTCTGAGGCAGAAGGATTGCCTGAACCAGCAGGTCAAAGCTGCTATGGCAGGGAGTGAGCCACTGCACTCCAGCCTGGATGACAGGGTGAGACTCCCACTCAAAAAAATAAGTAAATATTTCCTCTGGGACAGTTTTTCTACCACCTTTATCCTAAAATTAGTGCAAAGAATGATTTCTTGTCAACTGAATGCTTAAATTATGACTATATGTTGTAGTAGATTAAAGCAGCCTTTGAAACTGTTGTGAGTTTGGGAAAATGAGTTCACTTTTCTGAACATCTTTTCTTCATCTGTAGAGAAGAAATTTTAAAACCCTCCTTCATAGAAGCACATAAGAGAATCATTCACAGGCTGGGTTCGATAGCTCAGCCTGTAATCTCAGCATTTTCGGAGGCCGAGGCAAGTGGAATGCCTGAGCCAGCGGGTTCAAGACCAGCCTGGGCACCTGGTCGAGACCTCGACTCTACAATAAATAAACAAAAATTAACCAGGCATGGTAGCGTGCACCTGTAGTACTGGCTACTTGGAAGCCTGAGGCAGAAGGATCGCTGGAGCCTAGCAGTCGTAACTGGAGTGACCATGAGTATACCACGGCACTCCAGCCTGGGCGAAAGAGTGAGACTCCAACTCAAAAAAAAAAAAAAAGAAAGAACCATTCACAAGTCACTTTTAAGTTTTGGGGTATGAAGACTGCAGCGATATCCAGACTATCCAACTGATTTTCCCCCAACTACCTACAAGTGGATCTACTGATGGTGGAGACTGAGAGAGGGAGGAAAAACAGGACAGGAGGAGAAAGTTGATCACCAGTTGGTTGCGGCCTTTTGACAAAGCCTAAAATGGAGTACCTGCATTCAGACCCCGAGGTCTGCACCCTCGTGCAGGCTTGTAATCTTTCAAGTAAATCTCCTCCTTGACTCAAATTCCTCATCCTCCCTGCTGGCTCAAATTGGTATTATCCACACACAATTCATCCAACAAAGGTCAGAGTTGAGGATTCAAAGTGCCAATCGTTCAGCTAGTAGATGGCAGAATAAGAACCAAATGGAATCAATGACCCAATCTCCCAATACAGAGCTCTCTGCATTATATCAACTGCCTCTCTGCAGAGAAATTCTTTCTTTGGGGAAAAAGTAAGTCACCTTTCAGATTTCCAGAACCTTTGTAGGTTATCACATTGTGTTTCTACACAATGTAGAACAACAATTAATAAAAATCATAATAAACCAGGAGCAGTTATGACAAAAATAAGAATCTGTAGATGTTACTTTTACTTCTGTCTTTCAGGGAAGCCAGATCCTTTGATACCCAAAGCAGCATAAGAGACAAGAAGTGGAAGCATTTCATTGACGCAGAATAAAGAGAGAAAAGATTCACTACACTGAGAGTTTTGTACCACAAACACCAAATTGAATCTCGATCTGTTGATCTTTTTTTAAAAAATATGCTGCCGGGCTCGGTGGCTCAGCCTGTAATCCCGTGCATTTGGGAGGCTGAGGTGAGTGGATTGCCTGAGCCCGCGGGGT